TGTCTTTCGAGTCACGTCGGCTAAGGTCTTCCGTTCGCTGCATGTTTTACACGCCCCGCTGCTTTGGCCGAGAGTTGACCAAGTCACCCTGGTTCATATCCAGGTTGCAAAATCATGGGTGCTCCAGGAAATCCAAAACCACATGACGCAAGTAAAAAATGCTAGAATTCAATCCTGGAAACATCGGATCCAGACCTCAGCCAAACATGGCTGTAACTACATCTTCAGGCATCTCAAGAACAAACTTCTTGATGAACCAGCCAACTTGGTCGAGGATGATCATGGGAACATCCTTTACCAGCCTGACGCTGCCCTTCAGCATTTGAATAATAAGTGGGATGACGTTTATGGTGCTAATGTTGGGTTTGATCATCCGATCAAAATGCTTCACACAGTTTGGCCTTACATTCAAGATAAAGTTCATCAAGCTAATCTCCCTCAGATTGATGCCGAAGCCTTGTATAAAACAGTTCAAAGACGCAAAACAGAGGCGGCCCCAGGCCTCGACGGCTGGAGGACCTGTGAACTTCAGGCGTTGCCGCCGCAATGTTTCATTCCGATTGCAAGATTTTTTCGATGGATTGAACACCACCCCCAGCTTGATTTGCCGGAAGCCCTCACATGTGCTAAACAAATTATACTTAACAAGCCTGGGGCGGCCAGCGCCATGAATAAGCGCTTGATCACAATCCTACCTGCATTGCTGCTCTCGTACACGGGTGCACGATTTGAGCAGCTACAGGCGTGGCAGATCGCAACGATGCCCAGCTGCATCATCGGTGGTGTCAAAGGGCGCACTATGCCCTCCCTGCATACAGCTCTTAGACTAGAGATTGATGTAGCTAGAGCCTCACGACAAGACCTAGTAGGCATTGAGCTAGATAAAGCCAAATGCTTTGACCGCCTGATCCCCGAGTGTACTGCTGCCTTGTTCCTTGCCTTTGGTCTACCAAAGACCCTTGTTAGCTTCTTCGTTAGAATCTATAAAGGTCTTAAGAGACACATTGCCTACAAGGGGTGGATCAGTCCCACGGCCACTACAGCAGCCAATGGGGTAGTACAGGGCTGCTCACTTTCACTAGTTGCGGTAAATGTGCATACCAAGGTGTGGGTTCATCTACTCGAGACCCTTCCGACTCTGTCCATGCGAGCCTATGTCGATGACGCCTATCTCTGGTGTAAGATCCAGCATCTTGCAGATTTGTCTACCGCGCTACAGATCACCAGCCTCTGGGATGAACTTGTTGGGCAGAGGCTAAATGCAGCGAAGTCCACTGTTTGGGGAACATCCCGTGCAGCTCGCCATGCTGTTGCCCATGCATGTCCCGACATGAAGTTAGAATTCGTCTTTGATGCCCTAGGCACGAGGATTTATACTTCTAACAAGGATGATTTCCATTTCGAAACCAAGACCCTTGAACATGTCTGCCAAGCGGTTGACTGTATTGGAGCCCTTCCCCTTCCAGTCAACATTCGTGCTCACTTGATCGGGGCTAAGGCCATCCCCAAACTTACGTATGGAGCCCACATCTCACGAACTCCGAAAGCCGCTCTTCAAAAGGTCCAAAATGGTGTAACTAGAGCCCTTTGGCGAGGGAGGCCAAAGATTCGTGCCAAACACCTTGTCCTTACATTCTTTGGTAAGCCGCATCGCATTGATCCTTTCATTGCACAAGCGTATAATTGTGTCTTGGACATTTTCAGATATTGTTTTGATCACCCGGACACGATTGACAAGCTTAAGCTTATTGACAAGAATCAACGGACGGCAAAAAACTCTCTATTTGCGGCACTCCAGAGGGCGTGTGATCTTTTGCACCTGTCCTTGCTTGATGATTTTTCCTTGCAATTTCAGGGTGCGGATAAGATCATATTAGGCTCATGTGGCCCAAGAGATTTTGCTAAGGTGCTTCAAGCCATCGCACTGCAAGCACAGTATTTTGCGGTCCAACACAAGAAACGTAAAGACGTCTGCAAACCTAGTGGTCTTGTTGATGTGACTTTGAGCACCGCCTTCTTGCGTAAGCCGACTTTTGCCACCCCGACTTTTCCTACAGCAACAATGCATTTCGAATCTGTTCTGGTTGGATGCACTCTGACCAAAGACCGGCTTTGTGCTTCAGGATGGGTCGAAGATCACATATGTCGGTTTTGTGGCCAAGCTAAGGAAACCATGGCTCACTTGGTCTTTGCCTGCACTTCACTGCATAGGCTGATCTCCACACCTACGCTACATGAGTTTGGTGCAAACTTCTCCATGCTGGGAATTTTTGAACACCCATCTCAAGTTGCTCGCCATAGGCTCTGCCAAGACGTGACTCTGCCACCTTGTGAACATGACTTTCCTCCGGAGGGTTTTTTGGAAGAGGTCTGGACCGACGGCTCGGTGATGTGGACTTCACATTTCTGGATCACCACAGCAGCATTCGCAGTTATCGATTCAGATGGCGCAGTCAAAACCTCTGGCCGGGTGAAGGCTTTGCGGCTCAACAGCTACACTGCAGAATTGTGGGCAGTTTGCAATGCCTTTGCAACCAGCCGCAATCCTGTTATCGTATACACGGACAGCCAATCTGTTGTTGACAACATTGCCCACATGATAAAGCATGATGGTATTTTGCCCACCTGGGCTTGTTTGTCTTGGTGGACACAGTTACACAAACTTTGGCACCATCGTAAGCAGATTTTCTGTGATCCTCTTCAGGTCTGTTGGATACCTTCTCATTGTTTGGAGCACGTTTCGGACACTGACCTCACGGAATCAGCGGCTCAGGCCCTTGGCACGACCGTAAGGCATATTATCCGGAACAGACAAGCCGATCGTGAAGCCAAACGCCAAGCGTTGTTACATGCACCTGTTGATCCGAAGGTTCAGCGGCTTGTGACCCCTGCCACACTTCTGCATCAAGAATGGCTGACGAGGTTACATTGCCACCTTGATACAAGGCAACAAATTGGTGAGCCTAACCTGGAGCCCACACAGGGTGGCGACAGTCATCAACCTTCAGGCGTTTCATTGACAGCTGCAATTGCATCATTCTCCAAGTGGCCATGGAATTCGCACCTTGGGACTTACAAATGGAAGCCCAAAATCCCCGATGCCATTCCAGTGCCTAAACGCTGGCGCTCATCAACCTCCAACTGGCATACAGTATGCGATTTCCTCCGTACTCTGCGGTGGACGGTGCAACCGGGTAACAGCACGGCCTTCTGTGAACTTGCGGTTCATTTCCATGCGTCGGGTTTTCAACTTGATGACCACGATGAAATGCTGATCCATGATGTTTATACATTGATTCGTCAGTGTTTGCAGTGGCTGGCCAAGACTGATGGTTGCCAGCCCTTTCCTGGTGACATGCAACCGGGGCATGCGAAATCTGTTGGAAAGGTGCTTTGCCAAGGTGCCATCACAGGCGCCTCTGCTTACTTGTCGAATCATAGCCTACACTTGCTTGCACGCGCCCTGCAGGCCGGTGCCGGTCGGGCTTCCGAGTCGTGGAAGCTCCATTTTCCCGCTTTGCCATCTTGAGTGTATAGTTTTGTGCGTTGACCTGCGCACAGTTTGGGGCCTTTTATGCATCTTGCGCCCAGCGGGACGCAGATGCCGTTCGCGCGTTTCACTCGTGGATCGTGCGCAATGGGTGGGTGAGTATATAATGGTATGTATGTATGTAATGTAATGTAAGGTAAGGTAAGGTAATGTAATGTAATTATGTATGTATGTATGTATGTATGTATGTATGTATGTGTGTGTGTCTGTATGTATGCATGCATGGATGTATGTATGCATGCATGCATGTATGTATGTATGTATCTATGTACTGGTATGGTATGGTATGGTATGTAATGCAATGTAATGTAATGTAGTGTAATGGTATGTATGTACTGTATTGTAATGTAATGTAATGTTATGGTATGGTACGGCATAGTATGTAATTATGGTATGTAATGGTATGTATGTATGTATGTACTGTACTGTAATCTAATGTAATGTAATTTAATGTAGCGTAATGTAATGGCATGTAATGGCATGTAATGGTATGTAATGGTATGTGTGTATGTACTGTACTGTACTGTAAGGTAAGGTAAGATAATGTAATGTAATATAATGTAATGTATTAATGCACTATAATGTACTGCACTGTAGTGTAATTATGAATGTATGTATGTGTGTAATGTAATGTAATGCAATTGCAAGGTAATGTAATGCAATGTATATAATGCAATGCAATGCAAGGTAATGTAGTGTATGTATGTACATGCGTGGGTGCATATATGTATGTAATTCAATGGAATGCAAAGCAATGCAATGCAAGGAAATGTATGTATGTATGCATGCAAAGTAATGTAATTAATGTAATGTAATGCAATGCAATGCATGTATGTATGTATGTAAATCTGATTTAATCTAATCTAATCTAACCTAATGTAATGTAATGTATGTATGTGTGTATGAATGTAATGTGATGTAATGTGATGCAATGTGATGTAATGTGTGTATGTATGTATGTATGCATGTATGTATGCATGCGAGGATGCATGTATGTATGCATGTATGAATGAATGAATGAATGAATGCTGTGTAGTGTAGTGTAGTGTTGCGTTATGTTATGTTATGTTATGTATATATGTATGTATGTAGTGTAGTGTAGTGTACTGTAGTGTAATGTCATGCAGTTTGATTTAACCTAATGTAATGTAATGTAATGCAACGCATGCATGTATGCGTGCATGCATGGATGCATATATGCATGTATGCATGTAGTACATATACAAGCATACATGCTATCCCCTCAGAAGATCTACCATTTTTGCTTGCTGCATGCATGTCTAAGTCAATGCTGCCATCCTAGATAAATATGCATGCTGCGTGCTAACTCCAGAGATGTTTTGTTGTGGGTGATTGCAGGCATGTGCGATCAATTTCCAGGAGGATGGATCAAGGGCTTCAGTTTGAGAGTTTGTTGTGTCCCCAAGCTATGGCAGATTGTAGCACCTAGGCTACAAAAGCCGCTCAGTGCAGGCCCAGAGGTACTGGCTGTGATTACTGCGCAGACCAAATGTGGGCACGAAGCAGGGAGCTACCCACCTTGGTGAGTTGATTGGGACGCCAGCGATCCTGGATGAGCCCCCAGGCCTGATCAATCATTTGCGTTCCTTTTCCCACATGGAAGTTTATGGGTGGAAAGCTTGACAATTTTAGGCGGTTGCCAGACGAGTTTGGCTCTAGCTTTCGCGCGCTTCTTGCGATTCACTGTCGTGTAGAATGCCTAGCACTTTGGCCTTGTAAGAGTGCGCACTGTCCGCGTGAAGGATTACCTTTCAGTCCTTCAGCCATTTCCCGGCAACTGGTTTCCAATCTGCCTTGAATTTCCCGTGGTCCGGGTGTGCAGCTGGCACTTGGAGGAGCCTTCGCGGACCAGAGCCAATGACCCGGGGCAACCACAAAGGTTTTCCGAAGAAAGGCCAGCCTTCGCCACATGTGCTCCAAGGCTTTGTGGTCGATCTTGGTGAGGATGTGGGTTGTACTTAAAGGCACATCGGAAAGCAGCAGCAACAAAGCCACACAGATCGCACTTGCAGTGGGTGGCGCTCAGGACGCTTGAAGTGAAGAGTGGGTGCAGATGCTGGGGCGTGACGAAGCGCTGACCTTTTTTGCAATTGCAATGACTAGTGGGAAGCCCACTGTTGCGTGCAATTTGCCCAAGACACCCTTGTTGCACAGTGGGCGCTCCTCGATCAGGAGCCGGGTGATGCCCATGTCATCTGCAGCAAGAAGCTGCGGCAGCAAGCTTCTTCTGTACGTGTTGTGTCTGTCAGAGCCAGGGGCGCCTATCTGAAGGTCTAGTTGTCAAGGTCGGGAATGATTTGACGGGCTTGCAAGCTGCCGGGTTGATGACAGGGTCGGCCGGCTTGAGTCCGGTCAGCGCTTCGCCGCTGCTCACATCAATGTGGAAGACCGAAGGGCTGAAGGACAACCAAGGCGTTGCAAGGGGCTCTTTTTGTTGAAGCGCTCCCTTGCCAGGGCTCAAGGCCCAAAATTTCCGGAGCAAGAGTTCTTGAATCCCAGGTTCAAGATTCAATCTTGAATTCGGGGATGGGATTCAAGAATTCTTTCCGGCATCTTGGATCTTGAATCCCGTTGCAGTGCGTTTGCAACAGGGTTCTGTCACCGAGTGCTTTATATGTTTCATTGTGAGTACGGCGCAATCTTTGTGTTTATGCGCATGCAGATCGCACACGCAAGTGTGTATATATCTATCTATCTATCTATCTATCTTGTACCCCCTCCGACAATCAATGCCGTTGCTTGGTTAAGCAGTGCAAACACATCGAAATGTGGAGACAGGGCTTAGCATTCATACCTGAAAATCTGAAGTCCTAAGTCATGATGCCATTTCTGAAGGTGCGCGAAATCCACAACACGTAGGCCATGGGCCTTTGGATGGAAAAACCGAAATACAGGCTAGCCGAGCGTATGCGGATTGGTGCCTTCCACAAGTCCTATCTCATTGTCCCAGTTGGGGGCATATCTGAGAGTGCCATGACATAGTTTTTTACAGGCCACCAGGCTTATGTCACTTCAGACCCAAAAGCCAAAGTCATTAGCCCCCAGTATATATATATATATTTATATTCATCTTGAAACAGGTTGTATACACATGTTTTTCTGACACGCCTAGCGCCTTCTCATTGCTAGTGAAGAATTCCCCTTTGCACCATCGTAATCTATGATTAAGCACGTTCGTGCCAAGGACGTGGAAAAGCAGCGAATTCCATTCCTCTCTTGGTCCCTCCTCCTGGTCCAGAAGCACGCAGGGCTGGTCGAACGGCGCCCTCCTGCTGGAGATTGAGCATGGACGCGGCAAAAGCATTAAAGCAAAACTGTGCGTTGTGCTACGGAGCCGACGCGCACAAGCAAACCAAACATCTCATCATGAGGGTAATCACGGATTCCTGCATTCATTCTGGCTCGAATCGGGTAGAAGGAGAGCCGGGTGAAGGGAGCATTGACTACAAGCAGCGCAAAGCCAAATGCTCAAGGGCCTTGTGTAGGCACTCTGGATCACTAACATGTCTGGTCGTTTTAACAGTGGCCGAGGCAATGACAGGACCCAGAGCATTTTGGCGAGGTACACGGGAGCCTCGTGCTCTCGTGTTCTAGTATTTGCTTGTTTGCTTGAGGTGCACGCGGAGTTAGGAAGGCCCAATTGGTGTCCAGACATTTGTGGGCAGCCTAGTGATTTGGAGACTTGGGCCCTTATTCGATTGACATATGTTGAGGTCAGCAGACTTTGTACAGAAGAACTATGAGGCGCCTACCCGCTTGTCGAATGGACAATTGGTGCTCGCAGATGTGGTTAAGTTAAGCCCTCATGTTGTGGAAGATAACGAATCTATACGGTGCCTGGCCCGACCACTTCTCGCGCATACATACACACCTAACGCACCTAACACCTCTAACACACACAACGCGCACACGCTTATGAAATTGCGTACTGATTTGATGCGGGGTTGGCGCACGCCAACCTGGGTACCCAAATCCTGACCAGATCAAGTGAAAACCAAAGAAGCCTGGAGGTCCTCAAACGGAAGTGGGCCAAAAGCTCAAGCCGATCCCGAGGCGACAAATGACGACGAAGCGTGCAGGTCTGCAGTACACAAGAAAACACAAGAAAACTTAAAACTAAGGCAGGTTTAGGGGAATATCATGCAAACACCATGGAAACAAACCACAGCGGTGGAAGAGTGGAGTGTTGTCACAAGTGTAGGTACGTTTGCACCCAGGTGGGGGGTGTCTTCGTTGGCCGGAGACCCCCGCACCTGGCTCCGGCCCCCTGCAAGTTAAAGTAAAAACAAATTTGCAATCCGACAGGATCCCTGTCATTCCAAGGGTTACACACACACACACGCCTCTCCGAGGGGAGGCGAGAAAAACTAAGGTTAGGACGAGTGTGCACGCGTGCGCGCAGCAAAGACAACAAGATGAAGACATGAAGAGAGGACAAGACAAGACAAAAGTGTGCGTGGCTGCGATGAAAGGGAACCAAGTCCACAGGAACAACCGATGAGCCCCACCTCATTGTCAAACCTGGGCGACCTGAAACCTGGGCTTACAGTGCAAGTAGATGTGCATGTACACACTAAGGTCAGGACCGACGTGTGCGAAGAAAGGATGAGATGACAAGACATGAAGACAGAGAGACGTGAAAGAAAAGAGGGGAAAAAGGTGTGTCAAGGGGAAACAGGATGAAAAAGGGGAGCCAAATGAAGGGGACAGAAACCGATGAAACCAAACCTCATTGAAGACCTGTTGCAAAGCTTCGTTAGTATGTAAACACGTTGTGCACGAGGGAGGCAGGGGTAGGGAGAGGAGAAAGGAAAGAAAGGAACAAAAGAAAACGAAGGTGTTCCCAGCTACGACACAAGCGTCCAAGGACACACCAAGAGAAAAAGAGACGGGTTCCCAGCTATGGCGAAAGCATCCAGGGACACCCAAGCAAGAATGAAGGGGAAAGAACTCCACTCCACTCTACTCCACTCCACTCCACTCCACTCCACTCCACTCCACTCCACTCCAC